ATCATAATTCCAAACTGGTGTGGGATTGTCTGTGACTTACGCCTTCAGGACTTCATCTTTTGTTTCTTAAATTATAAAGTATTTTATTTGGATTTGGGCTCTATACCAAGGTCAAGGTTCAATCTGGCAATAGTCAGACCTTCTTGAGAAAAACCAAATACACATACTCACCTGTAGTGATGTTTTGTTTGCAGTTTTAACAAATAAAGGTTGCCTGAAGATCAGAGTGCAGAGCTAAACCACTAGAGGCCAGATGGTGGTGGCACACACCTTTAACCCCAGTATTTGGGAGTCCCACACTTTTAATCCCAGCACTAGGGAGACAGAAGTGATATGGCTGGGTGGAGAGAGAAATACAAGACAGGAGGAGACAAGAGCTCAGTGCAGTCTGAGGACAGGATCGGCTCTTTGGGATGAGCATTGGTAGAGGTGGAAGGTCTTTCTAGTGACTGGCTGAACTGCTCCTCTGATCCTTCAGCTTTTACCCCCCTAATATCTGATTCTGGGTTTTATTTACTAAGGCCAATTAGAATTCATGTTACACCCACCCCCATATAATATAGCTCAGTGGCAGAGTGCTTGCTAGCATGGACTAGGCCTGAGTTCAAGTGCCAGCACCACAAAATAAATATAAAAAGCAATAACATATAAATAGGTAAAAGTGAAGTGTTTAAGACAATCAAACCAACCAAACAAACAAACAATAGCTCAATTTGTATCTTTAAAGGAACAAGTAACAGTTCGGTTCCAGCACCTACTACTGGAAAGTTGTGCGCAGGCGCGTGTGGGTGGAGACCAGAAGCCGACTGGTAGGAATTTTGTCTCCTCCCACCATGTGGGACTCCTGGGCAGCTCAGGCAGTCAGCTTGGCTGCAGCGCTGTTCCTGCTGAGCACCCCCTCCCCAGAGTGTTAGCGGTCACATACGCGTGGAAGCACACATGCTTCTGTCTCCATCTAGAATTCACCCCTGCCCCTCGCTTTCTACTGTAGTCGCTTACGTGTTTTACCAGGCACTTGAAGCGTGTCCATAACCAAGCTGTAACTTCCCCCTCCATCCAATCTCAGCTCTGAAGATTCTGGTCTTCAACATTATACTAAAGCGTAGCTTCATTCCCCTAGGTGTGCAAGCCAAAGCTCCCAGTTCACCTTCACCTTCCCTTTCCCTTCGAAGCCCCATGGTCCCTAGCCCTCCTCCCATCCTTTACCATGATGCTTCTGAGAGCTTCCCAACTGGTGTGTCAACGGGGAAGCCAGAGAGCCTGCTAAAGGATGTGCTCCTCCGATGGCTCCCTCTCCCCCGCATCTCACCATGACCTAGCCAGACCTTTACATATTCCTACAGCGGGAGCTGTCCGGCTCACAATGACAGATACAGGTTCTAGAATCAAACCACCGAGGCACAAGCCCCCGGCTCCACAGCTTGCTGAGGCTGTGACCACAGGCAATGATGTAACCTTTTCTGCTCCTAGAAGTAACAACAAGGCCTGAGGTTCATTTGAAGCTTCTAAGTGAGTTAACCCCTAGGAAGTGTTGGGTTGCTGCTATTCACCTTCTCCACTCAATACCAGCCTGTGAGGTCAGCGGGAGATGGAATTCCTGCCCAGGGCTGTCCTCAAAACACAGAAGGGTGCTCTTCACATAAAGGCCGCTGGGTAATCCCTGACACTATAACCATGGGGTAAGGGCATGGTAAATTGTAAATACTCACCTCTGACTTCCTGATTTTACTGTCAGGCAAAACTCCTATCTTGTCAGAAGATGACTTGGTGCTGCTGAAGTGGATGTCGGAATCATGGCTCGTGATGGCACTTGGGCTCCTGTGGTTGCTCTGAGGGAGGAGAAGCATATGACCTTATGGTTTCCGTGGATGCGTGCATACGAGTGTACGCATACACGTGTGATCCTTTAGTGAGGTGTCGCTGATGTACAAGCTCACTCTGAGCATGTATCCACATCTGGGAAACATCACCTCAGAGAAGTCAGTGAGCACACCCACCACATCCAACCTCCCGGACCTCACTCCACAATCCATCGCTGTCCCCATTCCCAGGGGATGGTCAGCTTTCTACCATGACACTTGGCACTCTCTATTTTTATATAAATGTGATCATATGTTATGCATGCCCTTTCTTTTGAGGCAGGATCTCATGTAGCCAAGTTGATCTTGGACTCAATAGAACCTAAAGTTCTGATTCTCCTGAATGTTGGGAATAGTCATGCACCACCACGCACCACTACGCCTGATAATATAAAGTGCTGTCAGTGTGGGACACCAAGACCCCTGCTTTACCTTTTCACCTATCCACATCTTTATATTTGCGGCTGGCTCGCTACAGCACCTGATAAGACTGGTGCGTGCCTCTGTCTGGGATGTAGCTCACAGGCATTGGAGGTGATTAACTACATTCCGCTGTTTGTTCTGTTCTTAATTTTCATTTTCTTTTCTTGTCATCATTCTTTTATAATTTATTTAACTTTATTTTATGTGGATTAGTGCGAAGGTATCAGATCCCCAGAAACTGGAGTTACAGACAGTTATTAGCTGTCATGTGGGTGCTGGGAATTGAACCCGGGTCCTCTGGAAGAACAGAGGACCCAACTGCTGGGCCATCTCTCCAGCCCCCCATCTTTTTAGATGAAGCATTTTTTAGAAGATTCATTTTCAACCATGTATGCACGTGTCTGTGTTTGTATGTGCTGTGTCTATGAAACCGGAAGAAGGAGTGGGATCCTCTGGAACTGGAGTTACAAGTGGCTATGAGCTGCCTTTCATGGGTCTGAGGACCCAGGTTCTTAACCTCTGGGTCATCTCTTCAGCCCCTGGACTATTTTTTTTTTAAACTCTGCTTTATCTCCCTTACTTTTACTTTACCTTCATTGGTGTTTTGCCTGCAGGTATGTCTGTGTGAGGGTGTCAGAAGCATTGGAACTGGGGTTACAGACAGGTATGAGCTGCCATGTGGTTGCTGGGAATTGAACTCGGGTCTTCTGGAAAAGCAGCCAGAGCTCTTAACCTCTGAGCCATCTCCCCAGCTCCGTACCCTTCTGGTTTTAATTACAGGTCGTTGGTATTAGGGTGGTTTACAGTAGGGTTCTTTAATTTGGCAAATCTACCATCAAGGTAAATCATGTTACTTAAAGCGATAGAACTTTAATAATTGTTACTTTTTATTTGTGCACATATATGACACGTATGGGTTCTAAGGATCAAAGACCTCAGGTCACTAGGCTTGGTGGCAAGTGCCTTTAACGGCTGAGCCATTTCAGCGGCCCTGAGCTAGGACTTTAATATTCTATTCCCAGCTCCTCTTTTCCAACCCTCAGGCTGGGCTTGTCTTCCTCGTGAGTATGGTTGCTGTGGACTGTCAATTATCCTTTGCAGAGATGTTTGGAAACGGAGGAATCCACAGTTCTTTACGACATCCCTCTTTCCTCTAAACAGACCCCCTCCCCATCTGCTAGCATCCTCCTCTCACTCCAAGAACGCTCTCTCATGTTTCTTGTGTGTGCTGGTCTGATCATGAGCCTTTCAGCTTTTATACGTCTGAAAAGTTTTTCTTTCATCTTCACTTTGTTATTCCCCGTTATCTTATTGTGACAAAAATAAATATAACTTAAAACTTAACCTTTTGATGAGGGAGATGGAAAGTAGTCAAAAGAACTTGAGTCATAAAAGAGTAAATAAAATCATTTTTCTTTCTAGTTTCAACTCTGTCATAGTTTTTTTTTTTTTTAATTTTGTCGTCCATCCATCCACCCATGTCGTGCCCCTCCCCTGCTGGTAGATAAGTGAATTCAAATTCCTGGGTAACAGAGCAGCAAGAACTATGTTTTCATTCCCCCAAGAATCTAGCCTGTCCTTCCTCTGAGGCAGTGATTGTGAAACTTGACTTTCTTTTTAGTGCTATTGACCTTCAGTCACTAGGAATCAGATATGCCTATCACTGAGTTTATTGGTTGCATCGATCCATTCAGAAACATAGTTTTAAACATTTATTTTGGGAGAGAGGTTTTATTTATTTATTTTTAAAGATTTATTTATTAATTATGTATATAGTATTCTGTCTGCATGTCTGCTGCAGGCCAGAAGAGGGCACCAGATCTCATTACAGATGGTTGTTAGCTACCACGGGGTTACTGGGAATTGAACTCAGGACCTCTGGAAGAGCAGTCAGTGCTCTTAACCTCTGAGCCATCTCTCCAGCCCATGGAAGAGAGGTTTTATAACCTGGAAATTTATCCTTTTTTTTTCCTGCTGCTTAAAGCAATATAAAATTATTTACTTCTAGTGTTGCTTACTATGTAAACTGTATAGTTATACATAAAATGCAGTGTGGTCTTTAAAAAAATCTGTGGGCATTGAGATGGCTCAGCAGTTCGGAACACTTGCTGCGAGCCTGGTGGTGGCAGCAGCAGAGGGAGGTGGATCTCTTGGTGTGAGACCAGCCTGGTCTACAGAGTCCCAGGACAGCAAGGGCTACACAGAGAAACCCTGTCTAGAAAAACAAACAAAAAGAACAAAAAGAACACTTGCTGCTTGTTTTGTTTGTTTTTTGAGACAGGGTCTTACTATGTAGCCCTGCTTGGTCTGGGACTTGTTATATAATATAGACCAGGCTGACCTCAAACTCATAAAGATCTACTTGCCTCTGCCTTAAAAAAAAAACAAACCAACAGGATTGGAGATGGTTCAGAGGTTAAGAGCACTGATTGCTCTTCCAGAGGTTCTGAGTTCAATTTCTAGTAACCCCATGGTGGCTCACAACCATCTATAATGGAATCTGGTACCCTCTTCTGGCCTACAGGTAGAACACTGTATACATAATAAATAAATAAAATCTTTTTTAAAAAAACCCCAAACCAACAAACAAAAACAATCTCAGAGTTTTGATTTACATTTCTCTGATAGGTAACAATGTTGAGCATTTCCTTTAGTGTCTTTCACCCACTTTAGATTCATCTGTTGAGAGTTTTCTGTTTAGGTCTGTACCACATTTTTTATTGGATCATTTGTTCTTTTGATGACCAATTTCTTGAATTCTTTGTGTATTTTGGAGATCAGACCTGTCTGCTGTGGGGTTGGAGAAGATCTTTTCCCATTCTATAGGCTGCCGTTTTGTCTTCTTGACCATGTCCTTTGCTTTACAGAAGCTTCTCAGTTTCAGGAGGTTCCATTTATTAATTGTTTCTCTCAGTGTCTGTGCTACTGGTGTTATATTTAGGAAGTGGTATCCTGTGCCAATGTACTTCCCACTCTTTTCTTCTATGATTTTCAGTGTGGTTGGTTTTATATTGAGGTCTTTGATCCATGTGGACTTGAGTTTTGTGCATGATGATAGATATGGATCTATTTTTATTCTTCTACATGTTGATATCCAGTTATGCCAGCACCATTTGTTGAATATGCTTTCTTTTTTCCATTTTATATTTTTTTACTTCTTTGTCAAATATCAGGTAGTCATAGGTGTGTGGATTGATATCTGGGTCTTCAATTTAGTTTCATTGGTCCTCCTGTCTGTTTTTGTGCCAATACCAGGCTGTTTTCAGGACTGTAGCTCTGTAGTAGAGTTTGAAGTCAGGGATTGTGATGCCTCCAGAAGTTCCTTTATTGTACAGGATTGTTTTGGCCATCCTGGGTTTTTTGCTTTTCCATATGAAGTTGAGTATTGTTCTTTCGAGGTCTATGAAGTTTGCTGGGATTTTGATGGGTATTGCATTGAATCTGTAGATTGCCTTTGGCAAGATTGCCATTTTTACTATGTTTATTCTACCTACCCAAGAGCATGGGATATCTTTCCATTTTCTGGTGTTTTCTTCAATTTCTTTCTTCAAAGATTAAAGTTCTTGTCATATAGGTCTTCCTCTTGTTTGGTTAGAGTTACTCCAAGATATTTTATATTATTTGTGGCTATTGTGAAGGGCAATGTTTCTCTGATTTCTTTCTCAGCCCATTTATCATCTGTGTAAAGGAGGGCTACTGGTTTTTTTTTTCTGAGTTAATCTTGTATCCTGCTACATTGCTGAAAGTGTTTATGAGTTGTAAAAGTTCCTTTGTAGAATTTTTGGGATCATTTATGTAAACTATCATATCATCAGCAAACAGTGAGAGTTTGACTTCTTCTTTTCCAATTTGTATCCCCTTGATCTTCCTTTAGTATCTTATTGCTCTAGCTAGGACCTCAAGAACTATATTGAATAGGTATGGAGAGAGTGGACAAACTTGTCTTGTTCCTGATTTTAGTGGGATCACTTTGAATTTCTCTCTATTTAGTTTGATGTTGGCTGTTAGCTTACTGTGTATTGTCTTTATTATGTTTAGGCATGTTTCTTGTATCCCTGCTATCTACAAGACCTTTATCATGAAGGGATTCTGTATTTTGTCGAAAGCTTTTTTAGCATCTAACGAAATGATTATGTGTGTGTGCATGTGTTTCAGTTTGTTTATACGGTGGATTACGTTGACAGATTTTTGGATGTTGAACCATCCTTGCACATCCTTGCCTACTTGGTCATGGTAAATGATTTTTCTGATGTGTTCTTGGATTCAGTTTGCCAGTATTTTATTGTGTATTTTTGCATCAATGTTCATGAGTGATATTGGTCTGTAATTCTCTTAGAAATGTCTTTATGTGGTCTGGGTGTCAGGGTAATTGTAGCTTCGTAAAAAGAGTTGGGCAATGTTCCTTCTGTGTCCATTGTGTGGAACAAATTTGAGGAGTGTTGACACTAGTTCTTTTTGAAAATCTTATAGAATTCTGCACTTAAACCATCTCATCCTGGGCTTTGTATTTTTTGGGGGAGAGACTTTTGATGACGGTTTCATTTCTTTAGCAGGTATAGGTTTATTTAATTTGCTTATCTGGTCTTGATTTAATTTTCAGAAGAAGTGATATTTATCCAGAAAGTTGTCCATTTCCTTTAAGTTTTCCAATTTTGTGGAGTACAGGTTTTCAAAGTATGGCCTGATGATTCTCTGGATTTCCTCTATGTCTGTTGTTATGTTCCCCTTTTCATTCCTGATTTTGTTAATTTGGATGTTCTCTCTTTGCCTTTTGGTTACTTCGGACAAAGTTTTTTTTTTTCTATTTTGTTGATTTTCTCGAAGAACCAACCTTTTGTCTCATTGATTTCTTGTATTGTTTGTTTCTATTTTGTTGATTTCAGCTCTCAATTTTATTATTTCCTGCTGTCTAGTCCTCCTGGGTGAATTTGCTTCTTTTTGTTCTAGAGTTTTCAGGTGTCCTGTTAACTCACTAGTATGGGATTTTTTCCAGCTTCTTTATGTAGGCATTTAGTACTTTGAATTTTCCTCTTAACACTGCTTTCATTGTGTCCCATAAATTTAGGTATGTTGTGTGATCATTTTCATTGAATTTTAGGAAGTCTTTAATTTCATCTTTGATCCATTGGTGATTCATCTGAGCATTGTTTAATTTTCGTGTGTTTCTGGGCTTTATGGAATTAGTGTTGCTGTTGAATTCTAATTTTAAGCCATGGTGATCTGATAGGACACATGGGTTTTTCCAATTGTTTTCTATCTGTTGAGGTTTGCTTTGTTACCTACTATGTAGTCAATTTTTGAGAAGGTTCCATAAGGTGTTGAGAAGAAGGTATATTCTTTTGTTTGGATGAAATGTTCTATAAATGTCTGTTATGTTTGAGTCACAACATCTGTTAGTTCCCTTATTCCTCTGTTAATTTTCTGTCTGCCTGACTTGTCCAGCGGTGAGAGGAGAGTGTTGAAGTCTCCCACTATTATAGTGTTTGGGGTTTAATGTGTGATTTAAGTTTTAGAAGTGTTTCTTTTACATATGAGGGTGCCCTTGTATTTGTAGCATAGATGATGAGATTTCCTCTTGATGGATTTTTTTCCTGTGACTATTATGAAATGTCCTTCTTTGCCTCTTTTGATTTTTTAGTTTGAAGTCTGTTTTGTTGGATATTAGGATAGCTACATCCACTTGTTTCTTAGGTCCATTTAATTGGAATTTTTTCCCAACCCTTTACTCTGAGGTGTTATCTGTCTTTGAGGTTGAGATACGTTTCTGGTACGCAGCTAAGGATGGATTCTGTTTTCACATCCAATCTGTTAGCCTGTGTCTTTTTATAGGTGAGTTGAGTCCATTTATGTTAAGGGATATCAATTATCAGTGATTGTTACTTCCTGTTATTTTAGTTTTCATGGTCGTTGATGTTATTGTGTGTGTTTTCCCCTTCTTTGGGATTTGCTGCTGTGAGATCAGATCATCTGTTGTTTGTGTTTTTGTGGATGTAGCCAACTTCCTTGGGTTGGAGTTTTTCTTCTAGTACTTTGTGTAGGGCTGGATTTGTGGCTAGGTATTGGTTAAATCTGGTTCTGTCATAGTATATCTTGTTTTGTCTACGGTGATTAAAAGTTTTGTTGGGTACAGTTGTCTGGGCTAGCATCCCTGGTCTCTTAATGTCTGCATAACGCCTGACCATGCCCTTCTGGCTTTGACTGTTTCCATTGAGAAGTCTGATAGGTCTGCCTTTATATGTTATTTGGCCTTTTTCCTTTGTAGCTCTTAATATTCTTTCTTTATTCTGTGTTTTGATTATTATGTGGCAAGGGGACTTTTTTTGATCTAGTCTATTTGGTGTTCTGTAAGCTTCTTATATCTTCATATGCATTTCTTTCTTTAGTTTGAGAAAGTTTTCTTCTATGATTTTGTTAAATATGTTTTCTGTGCTTTTGAGTTGGATTCCTCCTTCTTCTATCCCTATTATTCTTAGGTTTGTTATTTTCATAGTGTTCCATATTTCCTGGATATTTTGTGTTAAACTTTTGTTGGATTTAAAGTTTTCTTTGACCAATGAGTCTATTTCCTCTACTGTATCTTCAGTGTTTGAGATTCTCTCTTCCAAACTAGGTGTGATGGTGAATATCTTTAATCCCACCACTGGAGAGGCAGAGCAGGGGGAGTTCTGTGAGGTCCAGTCAGCCAGGCTATACAGTGAGACCCTGTCTCAAAATAAATAAATAAAAGACTCTCCTAACTGTTGGGCTCAGGGAACCATTAGACTGTCTCTTGTGGCTCCAAGTGAAGGTCTCAAATGTCAGAAACCCTTCAAGTCCACTAACATGAAACCCCCACTAAAAATATGTTATATGCAGTGGTGGCGCATGCCTTAAATCCCAGCATTCGGGAGGTAGAGGCAGGTGGATCTCTGTGAATTTGAAGTCAACCTGGTCTACAAAGTGAGTTCCAGGATAAGCTTCAAAGCTATAGAGAAACCCTGTCTCAAAAAAACAAACACCCCCCCCCAAAAAAAAATAAAAAAGGAAGAAATATCTGTTATATCTCAGTTTCCTTATAAATCACGGTCCTGCCTCTGCTGGGGTCTCGCAGTACCTGCAGGCGTCCCCATGCTCATGGTCTGCTCAGTGTTCCACACACACCCAGAACCTGTTTCTTGGCATCTTTGCTGCACACCGAGCCAAGCATGTCCTGGCAGCGTGCATCAGATTTTCTCGGCTGTCCCACTGCTTTCTATACCGACCTCACCATGCTATTTCACTGCTGTGGCCAACACCAGGAAATAGATTTCTGCTAACTTAACAAACAACAGAACCACACATTCCTTCCAACAGTGAAAGACAATGGACATGTTCCCAAGTCCTCGGTTATCTCTTGGAAGTACATATATTAGAAGATGAGACAGTTTTGATGAGAGTCTCACTGCTCCAGGTTGAAGTCATCCCTCGCCTTATAAACTCTACCATATTGTCTGTCACCTGGTTGAGTGTTGTGTGAATGCTGCCGTATCGGTTCCCAGTAGCATCATCATATGGAACCTTTAAATAGGATCTAGTCATCCGGTCAAAAATGCAGCAGAGTGAGAAACATAAGAGAGCTTCAAAGAACTCCAGGAAAACCAGCTGCAACGATAGGAAACATAGGGAGGTCTCGTTTACTCTGACACTCCAGAATGGACCAGGGATTGATTGGTGATTTCTTATTTGCTATTCCTTCTGCATATATGCTACACATGTATACAGCAACACATAGATGAATGGGGAGGCCAGAGGATAACACTGGGTGTCTTTCTTTACTGCTCCCCACCGTTCTCTTTGAAATAGGGTCTCTCACTGGCTTGGATTTCATTGATTCAGCTAGGCTGGCTGACCAGCAAGCGCTAAGGATTCTCCTGTCTCCCCCTCCCCAGCACTAGTATCACAAGCATGCACCACCACACCTGACCTCTTTATTATGTGGGCGCTGGAGATAGGATCTGAACTCAGGTCATCATGCTTGCACGGCAAGCACATCACCAATGCAGTCATCTCCCCAGCCCCTTTCTAATATTAGTCTCTGGTTTTTGAGAAGGTAACTGTATACACGCATATCCCACTTATATATATATATATATATATATATATATATATATATATATATATATAGCGTAAGAAGCATGCAGCTTAAACTGGGTAGCTTGGTTTACAATGTAGCAATGGTTTACAAACCTCTAGTTCAAAGTTGCTGTCAGTTCCGTCATACACAAAAGGGTTGTCCTCTGCTATCACAGTCATAAATTTGGTCGGAGTTAAGTCCTTGCTTAGCATCCTAAAGTCCTGTGAAAAGATGGCACCAAACACAGAAGCCTATGAGTACACGTGGGTATAGATTTCAATGTCCACGACAGCAACATAGCACCTTGAGAAAAATGTATCAGAAGTCAGGATCTTAAAAACTGATTCTTTTGAAGCTATAGTCCCAGCACTGGGGAGGCTGAGGCAGAAGGATCTGAGGCCAGACTGGGGTACACAGAAAGACCCTTCCTTAGATAAGAATCAAGGGAGGCTGGGGAGATGGCTTTAACACGCTTGCTGTGCAAGCATGAGGACCTGAGTTCCACCCTACCACCCATGTAAAAAGCCAGCACACAATGGCATTTAATCCCAGTGCTAGGAACGTGGAGGAGGGTAGATCCCTGAGGCTTGCTGACTGGCATCCATATTACATGGCTTAATCACTTGTGACTCCAGCTCCAGTCTTTTGGCCTTCAAGGGCACATGCATGCAATGTCATATACTCTCACACAGGTACACACATATATACCTAAATTTTAAAAAAAAATTCTTAACTAATGTAAAAGAAATGATACAGAAAGTTGTCATTGTACTGTTTTTAGGGAAACAGAGGACATAATTAGCCATTGAGGTATGACCATTGGGGGCTACTAAGGCCACCAGCAAAGGTTTATGGAAAGCAAAGGATCAGGCTGGTGCCACATGAGCCACTGATGAATCCCATCAGCACTAACAGGAAACACAATGGAAAAGACTGGTAACCCCCTGTGGCTTTGCAGAACACAGAACATCTGAACCTAATCAAGTCGCTGCTTCTAACTGTCACTTTCGGGGACTTGTGGGGAAAAGAAGATGCTGAACCTGACTGTGAGGACGCAGCCATTAAAGCCAGCATGCCCACCTCTGCAGGGATGAATGACTGCATCTTCAGAAATAAATGAACACAAGGAAAGAAGGGAACAAACAGAGGCATAATATTTTACCCCAAAACATAAACTTTTAAACACATTTCCCTAAGTTTAGACAATAGGATTTTTGTCACTTTTCATATATATATTTCTGTTAAGTTCCTAAATACTCTCTCTCTAATATTTATTTATTTCCAACTCATTATTTGGATTCCCACAAGTACAAATTTAAAATATTTCAGAACGAAGCTAGCAGCTGTGAGTTTGAGAACATGTATACAGAACATGTCAATTGTTTTTCAAACTAATGACTTTGTTTTTTGTTTTACATAGGATCTTACTATGTAGTACAGACTGACCTTGAACTCCTGATATTCCTGCCTCAGCCTCCCAAGTGCTGAGATTACAGGAATTTAACACCATGCTTGGCTTCCAAAGTAATACATTTTAAAACTACTGTTTTATGAGCAACAATTTTTGTTTTGTAGTGCTGGGAACTGTTTTGCCATAGGCAAATACTCCATGGACAAGGTACAGTCCAGGTCTGACCAGCTAACATTTTTATATTTATTTTATTTTCTGTATATGAGTGTTTTGCCTGCATGAATGTATGCGCTCCATAGTCACACCTGATGCCCAGGGAGGAGGTCAAGAGAAGGCGTCAGATCCGATGGAGCTGGAGCTACAGACGGTTGTGAGCTGCTGTGTGGGCGCTGAGAAGTGAGCTCAGGCCCTCTGCAGAAGCTGCAAGTGCTCTGCCACTGAGCTATCTCTCCACACCTATCCAGCCCTAGTGTTGTCTCTGTAGTGATATTTAGGGCTAACAAGATGCCTGAGGGGGTAAATGTGCTTGCCAACACACACACACGCACACACACGCACACGCACGCACGCACGCACACACACACACACACACACACATACACACACACACGCACACACACACATACACACACACGCACACACGCACATACACACATACGCACACACACATACACACACACGCACACACACACATACACACGCACACACACATACACACATACGCACACACACATACACACACACATGCACACACACACATACACATACACATGCACACATCACACACACGCGCGCGTGCACACACACACACATCAATAAGAGCTACAAATACAATACAAACACTTTTAAGATGTTTTTGTCTCTTCCTCTCGATGGCCACATGTGCATGAGAAGGTGTTGCAGGGCTTCCTTCCCCCTGTTCTGGGAGCATTGCCCGGCACACACCCCTGTGCCTCACCTTTTGCTATCTGTCTCCTTCCGATGAAAGGAGACTTGTAAGCATTTGGTGGCCTTGAACAGTCACCCCAGATCTTCACCTCCTTAATTATGTAGCATTGATTTATCTTAATTAAAATCAAAGTACCTATCAACATAAAGGCAACATCAATCCTAAGAGTTATTACGCTCACTTTCAGCATCCAGAGGAAATACCTCATCTTCATTGTTAGCTCATAGGGCGGGGCCTCGTTCTGTCTGCAGTAGGTCGTGTAGATCTCCCAGCACTTATCGATATAATTCATTGAGTAGAGCGTCCGCTGTTGCTCACTGAATAAATGACCTAAAAATATAACATTCAGAAGTGATTACAGGGCTGGGGAGATGGCTCAGCGGAAAAAAACTCTGTTGTGCAAGCATGAGGACCAGAGAGCAGATCCCCAGTACCCAAAAAGCATATGACATAGAAACCTGCCTGTAACCCTAGAGGCAGGTAGGATTCCCCGAGCAAGCTGGCTAGCTAGACTAGGATAAATATAATCCTATTATTTTTGTATTTACCTTTTACCTGGCAGGCGTGTGGATGAATGTTCTCAGTCATCAGTTTTGTAAAACACAAAAAGAGTGATGGGCTTCTGTTCCTACGATGAAAAAGATACCATAATCAATTATTCCAGGAGATGGAGCTTAGCTTCCCTCTCCTGAAGTGTGGGTTAGACTTGACAAAACTGGCTTCTAACAAATAGGATTAAGAAAGGGAAATAGAGTAAGTTTATAGAAGTCCACTGGCAGCACTTTTCTCTGTGAGCACTAATCACAAGTCATACTGAAGTTCGGTGCTGCCGTGTGGTGGGGAGACGGCTCGGCTGGGAAGCACTTGCTGTGCAAGTCCAAGGACCTGGAGTGCACAGAGCTGATGTAAGAGCACGCGTCTGAAATTCCAGAGCTCTGCAGAGAGATGGGGACAGTAACAGAAGCTTGCAGGCCAGCTAGCGTGTGTACACAGTGGTAACGACAAAGGGATCTGTGTCAAACAAGCTGGAAGGTGAGGACTGATACCTGAGACGGTCCCCTGACTGTCACGTGCACGCTTTGGCACAGTCGTGCCTGCACACACACACACACACACACACAACACATACATAAACATGCACAAAAAGATCTAAAAAGTTCAAACCTAGTATTCTGCCCAAATCTCTCACCTCACCTCAGGGTAATTGCGGGAAAACATCAGAGTGCAAACCCAAACTGTGAGACACTTCACAAAATAACCAATAAACATGTTTTTAAAGATGGAAAGGTTGTGAAAGACAGAGACTGTGTAACTGTCACAGACTGATATAGTGAGATACATGGGAGGCAAAATGTAGCGTGAGCTCCTGGGACAGAAAAGGGACCATGGGAAAGGGCAACTTTTGGCTGGGGATGCAGCTCAGTAGTAGAATTCTGCCTAGCATGCGTGGTCTCAGGTTTCAGTCTGCACCTTCCATCATGTTTGAGAGGAGGCTCTGAGTTCAAGGACACTGTGCAGTGCTGAGTCCTTGCTCTGGATGAATCAACTATGGTAAGAGGTTGGTGCTAGGGGAACCTGGGTGCAGGATACATAGGAAGTCAATGTACTTAATGCCAACGCTTTTGAAAATCTAGTTATAAGGCTATGTTAATATATATACAAATACATAGAAAGACAGACAGAAAGACCAAGAAAGAGAGACAGGGTCTTATGTAGCTCAGGCTGGCCTTGAACTCATTAAGGATGATCTTAATTTCTTTTTTAAAAAAATAATTTATTTTGCTGGGCAATGGCAGCTCATGCCTTTAATCCCAGCACTTGGAAGGCAGAGGCAGGCGAATCTCTATGAGTTCGAGACCAGCCTGGTCTGCAAGAGCTAGTTCTAGGACAGGCTCCAAAGCTACAGAGAAACCTTATCTCGAAAAAATAAAAAAAATAATTTATTTTTATGAGCAATGATTGGTGTTTTGCCTAATGGTACGCCTGTGTGAGGATTTCGGATTCCATGGAACTGGAGTTACAGATAGTTGTGAGCTGCCATGTGGGGGACAGTGGCTCACACCTTTAATCCCAGCGTTTGAGAGTCGCATGCCTTTATAATCTCAGCACTAGGGAGGTGGTGAGCAGAGCAATATGGCTGGGCAGAGAAAGAAGTATAAAGGGGAAGAGACAGGAACTGACCATGGAGTCCTCAGAATTCCTGGAGACAGGATCTCGCCTACTTCTGTCTGAGGTAGAGGTAAGGTCCAGTAGCTAGCTGTTTCGCTTTTCTGATCTTCAGGTTGAACCCCAATATCTGTCTCTGGTTTTTATTATTTGTGCTACATTTACAGAACTAAAACAACTCAGATGGGGGTTCCCAACTTTTCATCCAGGACCCAGGCATTGTGGTTGAACTCTGTAGAAAAGCTTTGTGAAAATGACCAAGGCTACTGTTGAAAAGAGGGTCCACTGGGTCCCCTGGCAGGGACACAGATGTGGCACTTACTGGGTCCCCATGCAGTGCAGAACGTGCAGGGATGTGCAGATATGGTACTTACTGGGTCCTTTGGCAGGGACACAGATGTAGCACTTACTGGGTCCCCATGCAGGGATTTGCAGAGATGTGCAGGGATGCAGATGTGGCACTTACTAGGTCCCCATGCAGGGATGCATATGTGGCACTTACTGGGTCCTCACGCAGGGATGCATATGTGGCACTTACTGGGTTCCCATACAGTGCAGGGACATGCAGGGACGTGCAGGGATGCAGATGTGGCACTTACTGGGTTCCCGTGCACTGCAGGAACATGCAGGGATGCAGGTGTGGCACTTACTGGGTCCCCTGCAGGGATGCAGATGTGGCACTCACTGGGTCCCCATACAGTGTAGGGACGTGCAGGGACACAGACGTGGCACTTACTGGAACTCTTTGTGATGGATGTGGTGAGCCAGCTGCAGGAGGTAATTGAGGAATGTTCTTAAGAGTATAGTTCTGAACGGAGAGTGGATTTCTTCGATTGGAATGCCATTATAGACTGAAAGAAAAATGTTGGTGAGATCACTACCGCGCAGAAGAGCTCCAGTTACATTATGAGACATTTACAAGAGGCAGGTGGCTCTCAGGGAGTTCCAGGCCAGCCAGGGCTGTTACACAGAGAAACCCTGTCTTGAACCCACTCCCTCCAAAGATAATTTCATACATGTATATAATGTGCTTGATCAAACACATACCCCCATTTCCTGCCGTCCAATTCCTCTCCTACCATCCCCATCACCAACTTCATGTGCTCCTTTTTAAAACCCACCCATTCCCCTTAATGCTGCCTCTATGTGAGTGGGAATAAGACCATCTGCTTGACTATGGTTAGCTGGTCAAGGACCACATCCCTGAAGCAAACTGACTTCCCTCCCTCAGCAGCCATCACTTGCTAACAGCTCTTCAGCTAGGGGCGAGATTTCATGAGCCCCTCCCCATCTGTGTTGGAATCCGGGCTGGCTTGATCTAATGTGGGTCTTGTCATGCGGTCGCAGCTACAGTGGCCCTATCATGCCTGGCAAATACCTTTTTACTGTCGATGTCCACCACCTCGGGCTCTCGGAATCTTTCCATTCCCTCTTTTACAGTGACCCAGAAGGCCAGATACCCAATCTTGCAAGATAGTTATTGAAGCCTCAAGTCCGCTGTATCCTTTTGTTTGTATGTCTGTTGGTTTGGGTTTGGGCAGAAGCATTCGTTCCTCACACTGAGCCATCTCCCCATATTCTCTCTCAACACTTCTTGGCTTGTTTCCAGGTAGCAGTAACCAAGAGAGGAAGAGAACCTGGGATACTCACCACTTAGCACCCTGTCCATATCTGCAAGGGTGATATTGTGGTGGTGAAACCTACAGTCTTTCAGAAATCTCCAGAAGTGAAGCTTGGTCATGAGAAAGGTGTTATCCAGAGAGTGGTCACACCCAAGGCCGCTGTAGAAGCAGTAGATTCTCCTTAACTCGGAAATGTTCCTCAGGACTGCGTATTCTACCTGAAAAGAAGGACGCACGTGGGACCCAACTGTGCCTCATTAGAACAAAACTAAGAGGCTGGAGAGATGGCTCAGAGTGTAAGGGGGCCTGAGCTCAATTCCTAGCACCCACATTGGCTGGGATCACAGATATTTGCCATCATGCACAGTGGGTTTCTTTTCTTTTTTAGATTTCTAAATGTTTATGTGTATAGATGTTTTTCCTGAACATATGTCAACGCACCATAAGCACACAGTACCAGTGGAGGTTCGAAGGTATTGGAGCCCCTGTAATGAGTTACAGATGCTTGTTAGCTACTATGTGGGTGCTGGGAATTGAACCTGGGGCTTCTGAAAGAGCAGCTCTTAACGACTGGGCTATCTCTCATATCCAACATAGTAGGCTTCTTTCTCCTGCCTCTTTCATTATTTTTAGATTTATTTATTCTATTTTCCATGCATAAGTGTTTTGCCTGCATGTACCTATGTGTACCATGTGTGTGACTAGTGCAAAGGCACAGGATCTCCTGGAACTGAGTTATAGATGGTTATGAGCGACCATGTTAGTGCTAGGAACCAAAGCCAGGTTCTCCCCAAAAGCAACAAATACTCTTAACAGAGCCATCTCTCCAGTCCCGCAGTGGGTTTCTTGATTCCTAGGGAGTGCAGAATTTTCTGACCCCAGCAGCCCCTTTGACCCCACCTTCCACGAATGGGAAGTGATCACAGCTTTGGGCTTTAGATGGCTCTGAGGCCCTAGGCAATACCACTGAGTACTTCCCTCTCATAAACCTGCTCACTGCAGCATTCCCGGGCAGATTGAGATGGTCTAGACAGAACACCCCCCAGGAACACAGCAGACAACAACAGTGCCTAAAATGTAAGTGTATAATGGTAAAGGGGATTTTACCTGCTTCTTTTCTTCTTCTTGGGTTTCCTCAGGGTACATGTCCAGCAACAAATTTAAGTCTAGTTCAATACTGGATCCTAACACAGAATGGCTTTCGCTGCCGTCCAACTTTCGTAGGGTCTCTAACGAATGAAGCAAATGTGGGAGATGACTGTGAGAAGCAATGATAATGAGGGCTGGAAAGAAGGCAGCTGGGCTGGAGAGATGGCTCAGTGGTTAAGAGCACTGACTGCTCTTCCAGAGGACCAGAGTTCAATTCCCAGCACCCACATGGCAGCTCACACCTGTCTTCAGATCCAGTTGCAGGGGATCTGACACATTCACACCAATGCACATAAAATAAAGTTAAATCAGCCAAAAAAAAAAAGACAGCTAAAGGAGCTGGTTGCTCTTCCGGGGACCCGAGTTTAGTTCCTAGCACCCACGACAGGCAACTCAGAACTGTCTGTAGCTCCAGCTCTAGGGGATCCAGCACTTTCTTCTGGTCTCTGAGAGCACCCACAGACATGTACATGTACATAAATATAAACAACTCTTTCAAAGAAATCCTTTCGATGCCACATCAGAATGGTTGTTTATCAAAATGTGATTGAAGAGTACTCAATCACCCAGGCAATGTGGCACAGGCTATGCACCAGCCGCTGAGGAAGCTGAGGCAGGAGGATTCTATGTTCAAGACCAGCCTGTGCTACAGAGAGACTTTAAGGCCAGCCTGGACAACTTATACTCCTTTTCAAAATTAAAAACTAAGGGTCACTGTGATGGCTCACTAAGTTGTTTGCTGCCAAAGCGGATGACCTGTGTTTGACCCCTGGGACCTACGGGGTGAAAGGGCAAACAGACCCCCCCCCCAAGTCGTCCTCTGACGACCACATGCACGCACACAAACAACAAAGAAAGACATTTTTAAATTAAAAGTTCAAAAGGAGGGCGTGGAAACAGTTCAATGGTAGAGCACTAGCAGTTCCCATAGTAATGCAGCTCAGCTGGTAGAGTGCTTGGCTCACACACATAAAGCCCTGGTGCCATCTCCAGCACCACATAAACCGGGCACAGTGGTGCCCTCCTGTCATCCTAGCATCCTGGGAGGTGGAGGATGGAGGATCAGGAGTTCAAGGTTATTCTTGGCTAGTCAATGAGTTCAAGGCCAGCCTGCCTAAACAAACACACAGAATGTTGAAGGAAACTTCTATTTTCTGAAGCAGCAGGTATATTTTCATGAATGAAAACTATATGAAAGATATTAATTTGCAGGGCCAGGCGTGATGGTGCACGTCTTCAATCCCAGCACTGAGGTAGAGGCAGGTGGATCTCTGTGAGTTCAAGGCCAGCCTGGATTACAAAAGTGACTTCCAGGACAGCCAGGACTGTTACACAGAGGAACTCTGTCTCAAAAAGCCAAACAAACAAATACATAAATAAAAGATATTAGTTTACTTTCACCCACCAGGCTCCCTATCAGCACTGGCAGAAGATTCCCGAGGCGGCCAGCTCCTTTGGGAGACATCTGACCGACGATCCAGGCTGCGTGTGTAATCAGTTTCAGATTCAAGGTACTGTGCAATGTGGTCATTGGAAAACAGCCCTTCATACACTCGTCCATTCTTGAAAGTTATCCTGCCCTATGGAACACAATGTCAGATGGTGCAGGAGAGGTATTATTCAGTGTTCACCAGGGGAGTTTTCAAGGGTTTGGATGTTTTGAAGATATATACTTAGACTATGAAGAATCATCCTCCATTGGGTTTCACGTCAGGGCTCCTTCTTCTCTCCTCCTCTTCCTCTTTTTCCAATCTCTCCCCAAGTTTAATTACCTCCAGGCCACAGAATGAACTTATAAAACTTTCTGAATGGCCAGCAGAGGGCCCATCTCAGTAGCTACCAACTTCCCTGCTTTCTGTCAACCCCAGGATGGTAGGTCCTGACTGAGGTGGACAGATGACCCAGTTCAGCTCTGGGAAATGAGGCATTTGTAGAGAGCTCTGGGAAATAAGTTGCTTTTCCTTTTCTTAGTGGGGTGTGCAATGTGAAGCCTGGAATCACATGGGAGAGGAACAACACAGGGTAAAGCTGTCACGTGGGTAAATAGGAAAGAAATGCTGACATCACTGAGTTAACAGCGCAAGCCAGCCCCAACGCCCACCTTGCCATTATATATGAAAATTTAAGCTGGACCGTAACTTGCAACCTGTACCCTCATTTATTTGTATACACATATAACAAAAACTGATTAAATCATTTCTGATATCCAGGAAGTAGATAATGTTATAAATAGCTCTAAATTCATGTCCTCACCTAACACAAATAGTTATCTTTACAGAATGAAATGCAGCTTACCAGATACACAGCTCACCCATATTTCACCAACTACACTCACCCTGCCATGCTTTTTGTTGGAAACCCATTCTCCCTCGTACATCGCTCCACTGGCATAGTAAAACTTGCCATGTCCGTGACGGAATCCGTTTACAAATGCTCCTATGTATTCGTTTCTCAAAGGATACTGAGAGTTGGGGATTCTCTTTAGAAACCATGTGTATGTTCCAAAGCCGTTCTGAAAAGAAAACACCTTGTCAGCATAAAATCCTCAGAATGCTCGCCCTTTACCTACACTCAGATTATGGCAAAGATGCTGATAATATGAAAGGGTAGAGCACACGAACCTAGAACAATTACTAGCTGTCTTTTGACCTACGGCAAATGATTTGAGCCCTTTATAACATTATAAAGTGGAACTAGCATCTACCTTGTAGGTTGGATCAAAGCTGTGTGAGACCATTACAGAAGACTACAGAATAGAACAGTGACTACCAAGTTTGGCTGAGAGCAGCAAATTGCAACTTTGGGTTTTGTTCTAGCTTGTCGTCTGCTGCTGAAATAAAACACCCCAACAAAAACAACCTGGGGGAGGAGGAAGGTCGGATGACTTCACTTCAGGGAGGCCACAGTGGCAGAAGCTTGAGACAGCTGATCACACTGCACCCACAGTCAAAGCAGAGAGCAATGGATGCGCGCTCAGCTAACTTTCTCCAGTTCATACAGTGCAGGTCCTGGGCCAGGGAATGGTCCCTTCCACAATTAAGACAGGTGTTCCCACATCAATGAAAGCATCAGAATAGCGTATCCCAGGTTCTCCCAGAGGCCCATCTCACAGGTGATTCTAGGTCCTGCGAGCTGGCAGTTAACGCTACCCATTACGAGTTTCTTAGAGTAGCCGTGTTTAAATGTCAGCTGCCACACGGTATTACTCTGAATAGCGTGGATGGGCGGTCAGGCTGTGACCCAGGCGATGACACGTGCCTACCTGAATGCCCTTCTCCCAGTGGCCAGTGTACTCCTCATTTGTGGTCAGCCACCTCATTCTGCCTTCCCCATGGCGCATATTGTTTTCCCACTGGCCTTCATATATGTTTCCTGACTTGTAGCTGGGACCAAAGAAGCCAATGAACAACTGGTTAGCTCACACAGACAACATTTGCCTTTAATGCCCTTCAACTCACCCCTGAAACACTTCTCAGAAAATCTAGCCCAGGACCCAAGCCACTGTTTCCAGTATTGAAAATGGGCAGCACCTGGTTGGCAAAAATATTCATATTGGAGTGAGTGAAATAATTCCCTTTATTAAAGAGTGAGGTTTTACATCTTTTTGAAACAACTCCTATTGTGTTATGATTACTTAACAATTCATCACTAAATACTATAAATTCTGGGCACGTATGTGGTATGTGCACGTGTGCGAGTGGACACCAAGGTGTATTTCCTCTGTTGTTTTTCATCCTTATTCTTTGAGACAGGGTCTCTCGCTGAACCTGACGCTCACCCATTTGGTGGGATAGGGTGTTTTTAATAAGTTTTAAGGATCCTCCTGTTTTTGCTCCCCTGTGCTGAGGTTACAGGCACATGCTGTTATACCCAACTTTTTAAAAAAAGATTTATTTATTTATTTCATGTATATGAGCGCTCTGTCTCCATGTATGACTTTATGCCAGAAAAGGACATCAGATTCCACTATGGATGGCTGTGAGCCACCAATGTGGGTGCTGGAAATTGGACTCAGGACCCCTGGAAGAGGAGCCAGTGCTCTTGACTGCTGAGTTAGTCTCTCCCAACCCCTTCCCCCACCTTCTTTTGAGACAGGATTTCACTGTGTAGCCCTGGCTAGCCTTGAACTCACTCTGTGGACCAGGCTAGCCTCGAGCTCAGAGATGCACCTGCCTCTACCTCCAGAGTACTTGGATTAAAGGCATGTGTCATCACTGCCTGGCTATTCCCAGCATCTTATGTGAGTGCTGGGGATTTGTTAGACCCCATGCTTTCCTGGCAGGACCATTACCAACTGACGCACCTCCCTAGCCCAGTAGTTAAAAGCACTTGCTCTTTTTCCACACGACCAGCGTCCCATTTCCCAGCGTCCATATTGGACAATTCACAACCACCTGTAATCCCAGCTTGAGGAGACCTGACACACCCCTCTGGATTCAAAGGTGCCAACATATACGTGTACACACATATACACATAAATAAAAAAAATCTTAAAAGAACATATAGCCCTGCTGGGCATGAGGTACAGGTTTGTAATCACAACCCTTGGGAGGCAGAGAAAGGAGACTGGAGTTCACGGTCAGCAAGAACTTGTACATAAAGAGCCAACAGGGCAGGGGCTGTAGCTCAGTGGTAGGGTACTTGCTCAGCATGTCTAGGCTTTGGGTTCAATCCCTAGCACTGCCAAAACTAAAATAACAACAACAAATGACTATCAGCTCACTCCAAAACCAAGCGAAAATATTGCTGTTCCTCAGAAAACACTCAGGAATGTGGTCTGTGATGAATGCAGAGGACAGAGGAAGGCAGTCTCTACTTATAACAGTGAAACGTACCAGCAGATGCTTTTGTGAGTTTCCCATAGAAGGTTTTCATTATTATGGAGTGGAGTAATTGAAAACTCCACTGTACATGGACGGAAAATGTGTTCTCCGTCGTTTCTGCACCTTATCTTTAGCCTGGGTGAGAATGAAGTGAGCCTCTAAAAGCTTTTTCACCCATAACCCAAATATGGAGGGAAAGGTTGCACCTACCATCTTATTCCCCAGCCCTTTTTGATGTTGTATACCCAGTCTCCCTCATACCAAGAGGTTCCCTCTTGATTGTAATAGATGGATCCCTAAAACAAACAATATTAGGAGAAATCAAGCCTCATGACGCAAATCCTCTTTGCATAAACATCAGATCAGACATGCAAATCTAATAACTATAAACTATGCAGAGGCCAGTGTCACAGTTGCCAAGACAACCCATGATGCTTTGGCTTTGCAGACCAAGTGGGATGGGGAAATGTGGGTAAAAGTGCTTCCTATGCAAGCGTGAAGATCCGAGTTCAGATTCCAGAATCCACAGAAAAAAGCTGGACACCCAGTGTAAACAACTGCCATCCCAGCACTCCTGCTAGGAAACGGGAGATGGAGACAGGGGACCCTCCGGGAGCACAGGGCCCCATCTAGCACTCTGTACACAGCTGTGAATAACAAGAGACCTGCTGCAAACGAGGTAAAAGAGGAGGACATGTACCCAAGGTTGTCCTTTGACCTTCCTTTGACCTTCACATGCACACCATGAATAAGCACGCGGACACACATAAAGAAAAGTGCAAAGTATGTCCATGAACAGCACAAGTCAGCCATTTCTTGTGTGAGTCAGACATTTTTTTTTTTTTAGTGGGGGGAAACACCTTGGAGAAACAACTTAATGGAGGGATTACTTATTTTGGTTTGTGGTTTCAGAGGATTCAGTCCATCAGCCTCAGTTCTGTTAGTCAGGGGCCAGTGGTGAGGCAGAGCGTCATGGCAGTAATTGTTTGCCAGGAGCTGCTCACCTTGCAGACAGGAAGCACAGAGGAGCAGGAGGGGACCAGGGACAAGCTAGCTCCCAGATGGCCAGCTCCCAGTACCTGCTTCCTCAAACTAGGTCTCACCTCCTCTTAGGGCCATCCAACCCTTTGACGTTGAGAACTGATATTGCTATCTATAAGTATGTTGGGTCTTATTCATGATATCCGGGGATAAATAGGGCCCATGGCTCACACGCTGACCATGACTGTTTTCTAGAAACTTCCAATTAGGATCATCAGCTAAATGCCAAGTTTCTCACACATGAGCCTATGAGGAACATTTCCTAGTCACACCAATACATGCCTGAATAATAAAATGTCCTAAGAAGGCATGGAACAGATAGAGAAGTTCCATCTTCAGTTAGGCATGGTGTCTCATACCTATAATCCCCACTCTTAGGCAGTGAGGCAGAAAGATCACCCCAAGTCAGAGACCAGCCTGGGATACAGGGTAAGAGCCTGTTTCAAAGCAAATAAAGGTGATTCATCAGAGTAAAGGTGTCTGTCTCCTAGTCCTGTGACCTTAGACCCACATGGTAGTGAGAATCGATGTCTACAAACTGTCTTCTGACCTCCACATGCATATCATGGTGTGTGTGTGTGTGTCTGTATCTGTGTGTCTGTGTGTGTGTCTGTGTACTTGCACATGTGCATACACACATATAATTAAATGTAATAAAAAGATAAAAATAGCTCAAATGTCCATTAACAGATGAATAGACAAATTATAGTACATATTTACAATGAAATATTAAAAAAATAAAGTACCAACACATGTCACAACTTAGATGAATCTTGAAAATATTATGCTTAGTGAAACAGCTAGGCACAAAAGGTCACATATTATTTGATTCCATTTATACAGAAATGACTGTTATAGTTTGGATACAAAATGTCCCCGACAAGTTCATGCACTTAATACTTAGTTTCCAGCTGCTGGTGTTATTTTGGAAGGTTCTGGAAAGTTTAGAAGATTAGGGCCTATGGGGAAGAAGTAGGTCACTGAGGGGTGCACTCTTGAGGGCTATTGCATCTTGTCTTGGTCTCATTCCTCTTCCTCCTGTCTACCATGAGGGCAGCAGTCTCTACATGCTTTTACCACTGTCATACGTGATGAACCAGAAACAGCACCGATGGCCATGGACTGAACCCTCTGAAACTGTGAGCCAAAAGTTATCTTTTTCTTCCTCAGTTGATTCTGTTGTTATTGCTGGTAGTGGTGGTGGGTTGTTTTGTTTTCTTTTGAGACAAGGTCTCCCTATGTCCCTTGGCTGGCCTGGAACTTGCTCTGTGGATCAGGTTGGTCTCAAACTCACAGAGATCCACCTGCCTCTGCCTCACAAATGCTAGGATTAAAAGTGTGCACCACCATGCCTGGCAAGGGTTTGTGTCACAGTGCCAAAACGTCTGACTGACACAATGTCTAAGAGGTAAACCCATACATATAGCAAGTATTGGTAGGCAGTTGCTAGGGGTGTGGAGTGGGAGGGATGAGGGGTACTTCCAATGCACATGTTTCATTTCATGGTGCTGAAAACGTTTTTAGTGATGATGGTTGTACAATGTTATGAAGGGTTAATTTTACATCATGTAGACATTCACATGGATGGGATTCTTTCACGGGCACACCTCACCTACCTTCCCATGTCTCTTGCCATGACACCAGTGGCCGATGTAGGACACGGGCTGTGTGCCACACTTGAACATACCAAATCCATTCCTCATGCCGTTGATCACTTCTCCTTCATATGTGCTGCCATCTGGCCATGTATACACACCATGGTTCATGGGGATATTCTTCACAAAGTCCCCCTAAAGCAAAATGGCCACCAGAGTGACAGGAGAAGGCAATGAAGGGACTCCACACCCAGGGGCTGTTTGAGAGTCTCCTGACCACACTGACTGCCCCTGACTCTTCTGTGGAAGTAGTGGGTATGGCCCTCACATCCTTTTCTCCGTGTTCTCCATCCTCTCTCACCTTGTTCTTTCAGTGCATGGAAGTCCAGGAAGAAGAAAGCTCTGAGAAGCAAGCAGATGACCTGGTAATGTTGTGGCTGCCAATCCTGACCTTAACTTTAGACCATCAGGATCCACCTTGGAGAGGTCTGGATGGTCATATTGATCACCCGTGGAAAATCTCTGTCTCACCATGGTTCACCAAAATATCCTGCAGATGTGTTTGTCAAGGGCCCACCTTACGGGCGTCTTCTGAAGACCTCACTGTGTGCTGGTGGAGGGTGCCTCATTGTGAGCAGCTTGTGGTGATGTGCCATGGCCCAAAGATGGCAGGTTCTCTCCCAGAGCAGTTCTGTTGGTAATGTTGGTAGTGGTGCTGGGGAATGAATGTGGGCTCCCCACATGCTAAGCTGGTGCTCTGCCACAACTCTAAGACTAGGAATTCACTAGATAATCATCAGTCACCAGAGGACACAGACATTGGCTTTGGCCATTGGTCAAATAACATATTGGTGCTACCTGGCTCAACAAGCCTGAGAATGTCTCAAGAGCCACCATCTCACCCATGAACTCCCTTTGATAGGCTGATCATGGAGGGTTCTGTGCTCAACCTCCAGAGAACTTCCAGAGACAGTGAGGCAGAAGGACCTGCCTGGCAAAACCACCACTCAGGGCTCAGAAGCCTTGAGTGCTGGTTGCAGGCTAGGTGGGTGTGGCATGGAAAGGGAGTTCTCTCGGAAAGCCTGGTCCTAACACACTGTTGGGGCTGGATCCCCGGCTCTCCTGCCCTCGTGTGCCTACACCTCTACAGCTCCTGTCCTGCTTCCCAGCTGTCATTTGAATGCATTGCTGTATGCATGTGCCTTAAATGTCTCTGCTACCATTTATGAACATCATGACATTAGTAGCTCTGCGGTAGACATTTCTAGAACAGCTCTTCAGGCACTCACAGGTTTTGTGGGTGGGAGCTGAAACTGGCACTGTCTCTTGGAGGGCAAATCTGTTCTCAGTTCGCACAGCCAGTTTAAAAATACCCACTTCCCCTCAGCCCAGCCACCCAGATGGTCTTTGTGAAACCCCATAATGGAATACGTGCAGTCAGTATAAACAGTTAGATCTCTGTGGGTGGGTATGGCTTACCTAGAAAAGAATAAAGGAATAAAAGAGACTATATAAACTGTGTTTATACAAAGCATGAGGGATTAAACACACATCTGTGTGCTATGCACGCAGAGAACATATAGATTACCACCAAACTCCACCCATGTGTGTTGCACGCACACACAGGACAGCTCCAGTGATTTCCAGACACCCGATGCAGTCATTAAGTCACTACATTGAACACACAAGTTAGTCTCTGTACCCTTCTGTTCTCTGCACTTTTGGTTCTGGGTTAATCCTAACTTTCTCATTTGTTACTCTTTTTCTGAAATAGGGTCTTACTGTGCAGACTCAGGATGGCATGGAATTCAAAATCTCCTGCCTCAACTTCCCAAGTGCTAGAATTACATGACACCAGTTGTGTATTCTAACTTACTTGTTTTGTTTGTTGGTTTTTTTTGTGACAGGGTCTTATAACATGGTTCTAGCTGTCCTGGAACTCACTATGTAGACCAGACTGACCTCAAACCCACAGATATCTGCCTGCCTTCCAAACGCTGGAATTAAAGGTGTGCACCAACATGCCTAACCTAACTTACTTTTTGTTTGTTTGTTTTGTTTTGTTTTTTTGAGACAGGGTTTCCCCTGTGTAGCCTTAGCAGTCCTGGAACTCACTCTGTAGACCAGGCTGGCCTCAAACACACAGAGATCTGTCTGCCTCTGCCTCCCAAGTGTTTGGATTAAAGGCGTGCGCCACCACCGCCTGGTCTAACTTACTTTTGCAAAATTAGTATAACTCGATGGCTAGAGAGATAGTTCAACAGTTAAGAGCATGTATTGCTTTTATAGAGAGCCTGAGTACAGTTACTAGTATTCATATCAGTAGCTCCCAACTGTATGTGACTCCAGCTCCAGAGATTCAATGCCCTCTTCTGGCCTCTGAGAGAACTTGAACCCACTGGACATAGCAACACATAGACAAACGCATGCGCGCATGCACACAGACTTTAAAAAATAAAAATGAATTTTTTAAAAACAGTGTAGTACGTTGACCATTAAACTCTACAGTTAACACTAACCCATGATAATGCTTTACCTCGTATTTTAGTCCGTCAGCCCAAATATAAGTCCCTTGTCCATGCATCAGTCCTTCTGAAAACATACCCTAAGAAAGAAAACAACAGTGGAACTTAGACGGGAGCTGTGGCTCATCGGAGACTGGAATCCTGTCCATCCCTTTACCCAAGGGCGTGTGCTGGCTGCCTAGCAACAGCAGCAGGGTGCCTGCTCTGAGCATACACCACACGGTGATCCAGCCAAGCCAGAAAGGATCCGAGGAGGCATTTAAAACATCCTTAAAACTTAGATCTGATCACCAGAGGCATATTCTCCTAAGTAAGCACCTGGAAGATATCTGAACGGTGGCCCAAAAGAATCCAAATAACTTTGATTTTGCACTTTGATCTTTCAGGATTTGGGTCTGAGGATGAAGTTCAGTGGTTGACTAGCATGTTCAAGGCCCTGGGCCCTATCCCCTACATTGCAAAAATAAAACCAAAGCAAAGCCATATATATATATATTTTACAAATTACCTACACAAGGTAGCCAATTAAAACTATCATTCAGCTATCAGACATATCACATTTGTAAGTTTCATACTTTATTTTCTCTTACTGGAAATGATCAGTGTTCATGTGCACATGACTGTGTACTGACAGACACATACATGTATGGATATGTATGTACGTGTGTATAACTTAGGCTCAAGAGAATCCAGTACTCTCTTTTGGCCTCCATGGGCATCTGCTCACACAGAGAACAAGACATACACATAAGATTTAAAAATCTTTAAGAAGTATTCTACTATAATAAACACATATTTCTAATAATCTGAATGAATGAATAAACGAATATCTTAATTGTGTCCTACAAATAAAAGTTAAAAAATGGAAGGACCCTTAAAAATGTAATAATTATGGAATGGTTGTATTTAGCAATTTTGAGTTTTTGTAGTATCACAATGAAAAATCAGATGAGCCAGGGAGTTACCATGTTCTGGGCACCAAGCTTCAGTTTAGGATAATCACAAAGTCCTGGTTGTCAGGGTGACGACTGCACCATAATGTGGAGATGTTCACGGCCACTAGACTGTCTACTTAAAAGGGTTAAAATAACAAATGTTGGGTATGATTCAATTTTTAAAAAAATTTGTCTTGTATTTTGATGTGGGTCCTACAATGATGAAAGTCGTATACTAATACATAAAAATTTATAAGTGAAAGCAGTTCCAACTGTATTCTATCATTGTGTGGTTAACATGTAAAAATCAATGTACCCGGGGCTGGAGAGATGGCTCAGAGGTGAAGAGCACTGACTGCTCTTCCAGAGGTCCAGGTTCAATTCCCAGCAACCACATGGTGGCTCACAACTATCTGTAATGAGATCTGGTGCCCTCTTCTGGCGTGCAAGCATACATGGAAGGAATGTTGTATACATAATAAATAAATAAATCTTAAAAAAAAATCGATGTACCCGTTCAAAGAACAGAAGAAACCATGCTAACTGAGTGTGTTCATAGCAAAATGACAGCAAGACTGGGATGCTGCTCTTTAGGGTTCATCGGTTTTTATTTTTCACAGTGCCAGGCATGGAGCCAGGGTTTTGTGCATGTTAGGCAAGCGCTTTACCACTGTGCTACCCTACCCCCAGGCCTGAGGCTCTGCTCATCGCGGTAGGCCTGAGTTCTATCTCTGTTGCCATGATAAAGCCCAAAGGCAACTTAGAGAGAGGATTTATTTGGTTTACACTTCCAGCTCACAGTCCACTGAGTGAGTCAGGACAGGAACTCGAGCGGCAACTTGAAGCAGAAACCATGAAGGAATGCTGATGGCTTTTATTTATCTAGCTTCTTTTTTTTTTCCTCTTCACTTTTTTCTGCTTTATTTTTAAAGACAGGGTTTCTTTGTAGCTTTGGTGCCTGTCCTAGAACTCTCTTTGTAGACCAGGCTGGCCTCGAACTCACAGAGATCCACCTGCCTCTGCCTCCTGAGTGCTGGGATTAAAGGCGTGTGCCACCACCTCCTGGCTTTTCTAGCTTTCTTATACCACCCAGGACCACCTGCCTATGGGATAACACCACCTACTATATCATATATGTGTGTGTGTTTTCATATGTATATGTGTATGTATGTATATGAATATGTATATGTATATGTAGATATGGTTCCCTCCTATATCAATCAACAATCAACACAATCCCCCACATACATGCCTATAAGCCAAATTGATCTGGGTGATCCCTCAACTGAGACTTCCTTCTTAGGTGACTCTAGGCTATGTCAAGTTGACAATTAAAACTAGAGCAACCTCTGTGTTAAATCTGTAGACAGAACCAAATACAGATAGAAGACATTTGGGGGAAGAAGTTAGAGTACTATCTAGTTAGGACTACAACAACTGCATCTGTACTAGACAGGCACTTTTTTTAAAATATTTATTTATTTATTATGTGTACAATATTCTGCCTGTGTGTATGCCTGCAGGCCAGAAGAGGGCTCCAGACCCCTTTACAGATGGTTGTGAGCCACCATGTGGTTGCTGGGAATTGAACTCAGGACCTTTGGAAGAACAGGCAATGCTCTTAACCTCTGAGCCATCTCTCCAGCCCCGGCACTTTTTTTTTTAAAGATCATCTCCTGCAAAAGGTATAGTCTAACAACTATTTGCACAGAATCTGGATTATATTCAGTACTGTGAATTGTGCAGACATTGACAAGGAATATGTGAGGGCAGTGGGTGTAGATTGGTGGCAGGGCACTTGGGTAGTACACTCCAGGCCACTCTAGGCTCTGGATTCCATCCTCGGTACACCACAAGGACAAGCCACAGCAAAAATACTTGGGAGGATGTGCATAGGTTCTTTTTTAAAAGATTTACTTTTATCTGTGTGCATGTGTTGCACACAGAAAGCGCAGTGCTTACAGAGGTCAGAAGGGAGTGTCACATCCCCTGGATTTGGAGGTACAGGCAGTTGTGAGCTGTCGTTCCTCTGCTGGGAACTAAACACTGCTCCTCTTCTACAAGAGCAGCAAACCTTCTTAACTGTTGAGCCACCTCTCTCGCCCCAGTGGTATGTGCAGGGTCTATGCAAACATGACAGCATTTTGTGTGTGGGACTTAAACATCCAACTTTGGCACCGAGCCTGTGGATGATAGTTTTTAACCTAGTTATTTATCTATGCCTTGTCAATAGCTAAAAATCAGGGGACACACCCTAAAATAAGTCAGTTATACTGAGTCATACCTCAAGCAGGAGGGAGGGGTTCAGCATAAAAACAGTCTGTGGTAGTTCTGATGGTTTTAGAGGAATCAGAGGAATTCACTCAAGCCCTGAACATCTAAGACTTTCAGCTCCCCCCTTCCCCCAGCCCTCCTGGCTCCAGTAATTATGACTTACATGGTAGGTGTTTCCACCTTGAAAGACAGCGAAGCCTTCTCCCTCATACAGTCCTCGGATTTTCTCCCCTTCATAGCTACAAAGAAATAGAGTTCAAACTCATGAGTGGTGTGGGGTGGACAGTGGGTTAAAGCACATGGGACATCAGGGTCACACAACTGTCGGTGTGGTACATGGGTTCTGTCTGGGAAGAGGGACAGGATATTCTGGAGACAGAACCCAATGCTAGCTTTAAAACACTGTGAGTGCATTTAATACGCCAAACTATACATTTTATTTATTTCCATTTTTTAAAAAATCCCTGTTTATGCGGAGAGATGGTTTATGTGTGCGCATGAAAGTGATCTGGAATCATCCTTTACTGCTCTTCCACGTCACCCACTGAGGCAGGGTCTCTCAACCAAACCCCGAGCTTGCCAGTATGGCTAGTCTTCCTAGCCAGTTTGCTCTAGGGATTCCCTATCTCTATCTTCCAAAGCCTGAATTATAGACTGGTGGACCACACGTTCACCTGACGTTTACCTAAGTTTCTCGGGATCTGAACTTTGGTCCTTATGTTTGTATGGTCACCAATTCAGCTTCTGGGCCATCTTACTAGTCCCTGAATTATATATTTTAAGTGGTCAAAATAGCAAATGTTATGTATTTTTACTGAAAAACAAATTTTTCTTTGGGCTGCTAGCTCACAAAAAATGACATGGAGAGTATTAATTACAAACAGCTCAATCTATAGCTTAGGCGTGTACCATTAGCCCTTGTAACTTGAACTAACCCATTTGTATTTATCTACATTTTGATTTGTGGCTTTTTATCTCTATTTCATCTTGCTCCCCCTGTTTCTTCTCTGTGTCCTCTGGCATCTCTCCTGCTGCTTAGATTTATCTCTTCTTCTCTCTCTCTCTCTGCCCGGAAGTCTCACCTAACCTCTTCCTGCCTAGCTATTGGCCATTCTGCTCTTTATTAAACCAAGCAGAAGGTGCCTTGGCAAAGATACATTTTCACAGTATACAAAAAGATTTTTCTACATTTTACCATGATAAAAACATTCTTGAAAGACTGGAGTGATGGTTCAGTGGTTGCTCTTGCAGAGAACCTGGGTTGGATTCCCATGTGATGGCTCACAACCATCTGTAACTCCAGTTCTAGGGGATCTGCCACCCTCTTCTGGCTTCTGTGGGCACTGTACGCATGTGGTGCACAGACAGACATGCAGGCAAACACTCATATACATAAAGATTAGAAATAAATACATCTTTAAGAACTGTTTATAAAAGGTTTTTAGGGAGCTGGGAAAATGACTCAGTTGATAAAATACCTGCCACATAAACCTAAGACCCTGAGTTCAGATCCCTGTGCCCACTTCAAGGCAGGCACAGCAGCACACATCGGTCAGCAAAGCACACACCATGAAACTATGATGACCGAGTTCAGAGACAGGAAAGAAGGAAAAGCTAGGCATTGTGGTACACCTTTGTAATTCCAGCTTCCCAGTGCTGGGGAGACAGAGACAAGGATCTCTGGAGCTTGCTGGCCAGACCATCCAACCAAATTAATGAATTCCACACTCACATACAAAAGTGGTTTTGGAGGTAGAGAATTGCAGGATCATAAAACTGTATGAGCCAGGTGGTGGTGATGGTAGAGGAGCATGCCTTTAACCCCAGCACTCGGGAGGCAGAGGCAGGCAATTTCTGAGTTCAAGGCCAGTCTGGTCTACAGAGTGAGTTCCAGGATGACCAGGGCTACACAGAGAAACCCTGTCTCAAACAGACAAAACCACCACCAACAACAACATGTGACATTTGGTTTAAAGAGACTGGCCCTGTCAGCCCCAGAAAAGTTACCTTTCCACAATGAGTTTGGTCAGGATGGGCTCTTCATACTGGGTTTCATCTTCATTCTGATACATATTTGCAGAGTCTCTTTTGGGTGTCAACTGCTTGAGTGGAATTTCCAATACTGGGATGGCACTAGCCGGTACTTCCTGCTTCCCAGCGCTGCCATCTTTGAAAGTCTCTGGGTTTTCCGAATTGGAGGATGAAGAGCGGGCTGACTTATCGCCTTTCTTGTCTGCTTTTTTCTTTTCTTTCACCATGGCCTTTGGAAGAGGTAGAGTTTACCTCAGATACAGAGTTAGCCAACGATTCCTTCGATAGGCTGAAGTGTTGTTTCAAAACATGGATGGGTTTTACCTGAAAAATTATGTTTATAAATACTTGGTTGTTTCAATCATAAAAAATTATTATCATTTTACTAAAGCCTGAGTAACCACAAATATCATTCATTTATGTAAATAATTCAATTTCAGTGTTGCATGATGGTTTAAAAATGTTTAATATTAGAACCATTATAAAACATTATTTCATTTACAATTTTACTGCATTTATTTATCTGTTAATTTTGTGCATATGGGTATGTGTGGGGGTACCTGTGTGCCATGGTACATGTGTGGAAGCTAAACCACAGTTTTCTGCAGGTGCTTCTCTCCCGTCATAATGTGTGTCCTGGGGATCACACGCAGGTTGTCTGGCTTGGCAGCAAGCACCTTTAACCACTGAGCCATTTTTGCCAGCCAATGTAACATTGTCTTTTCAAACCGTGTTGTAGTTAGGAATGGTAATCCTTAGTCGGCAAACTGCTTGCCTCAAAAGCAGGAAGGCCCGAGCTCAGATCACCATCGCCCATGTAAAAGGCTAATGCAATGGCATGCATCTGTAACGCCAGCAGTGGGGAGGTGGAGACAGGAGGATTCCTACCACTCACTCATAGTTTAGTTCACTCAGTGAGCTCCAGGTTCAGTGGCAAACCTGGTCTGAGAAAATAAGGTTGGGGTGGGAGAGAGGACTCTGTAGGCAAAGGTTCCTGTTACAAGCCTGACAACCTGGGTTCAACCTTTTGAACCCGCATGGTGGAAGGAGAGAACTGACTCCTGCAAGTTGACCACTGACCTCCACCAGTGCACCCTGGCAGTTGCGCGCACACACACACCCCACATACATCACACAGAATAATAATTTAAAAATAAAATACAAATGAAACCATCACGTCCATAAGAACATAAAAGCTACTGCATGTTAGCAGTGTTGTATACTGAAGCGAACTGCTTTCTGCCTCGGATACCAAATAGAAATCGTATCTTATGCCAAGATTCAGGTGACAGAAAAAATCCTGAAGTATGCAATGCAGATCAATAGATACAGAGTGACTTCATGCTTTTGGATTTGAAATTATTGACTGCCTAGGCTCTAGAGTGGTACAATAGCAACTTCCTGTTGTACATGTGGTGCATACATGTTTATGTGTGAGGGTGTGTGCGTGTGCAGGGCTGAGTGTTTATGTGTGAGGGTGTGTGCGTGTGGAGGGCTAGGTGTTTATGTGTGAGGGTGTGTGCGTGTGGAGGGCTGAGTGTCTATGTGTGAGAGTGTGTGCGTGTGGAGGGCTGAGCTCAGCACTGGGTCTTCCTTTGTCTCGTTGGCATCTTATTTTTTTGAGTCAGGATTTCTCACTGAACTTTGAGGCCACCAGTCAGGTAAAGCTAGCTAGTCAGGGAGCCCCAGGGAGCCCCAGGGAGCCCCAGGGAGACTCCTGTGCTTGCTTCTCAAGCACTAGGATTATCGGTGCATGTCATGGTGTCTGCATTAAAAAAATATTTAAAGATACTTTCCAACATTTCATTATTTTTATGTTTGTGGGTGTTTTGTCTGCATGTCTGTCTGGGCAACACATGCATGCAGTGCCCAGGGAGACCAGAAGGGGCATCAGATCCTTCTGAATTGGCGTTAAAGACAGTTGTGGGCTGCCATCTCGATATTGGGAATTGAACTCTGGTCATGAAAATCTGACAATAGGAAAAGGTTTCTGAAAGTACAACCCAAAGTTAATTCAAAATCAAAAGAATAATGAATCCAACACATTTCTGGCATAACTCTCCTGGGTTGTATCAGATAACTCCACTGTCTTGGTTCTTTGCCCTTTAAGGTTTCTTTGTTTGTTTTAAAATTATGTGTATTTATGTGTGTGTGGGGGGGGGTATGTGCATGTGAGTGCAGGCGCCCTCAGAAGAGGATCCTCTGAATCTGGAGACAGAGGTGGCTATGAGCCACTTATCATGTGTGTTGGGAACTGAACTTCCTCTGGAAGAGCAATATGCACTCTTAACCAGTGAACCTTTGCCCCAGCTCCATCTTGGTTCTTAACACTCAACCTGTGCACTTTGTACCGTGTATGCCATCATGCCATGCAATGCTACTTGAAACACCTCAGCTCAGATATGGCTATTACATTATATGAATTGTAGGGTTTTCACTGTACAGTTTCCTACTTTTATAAAACTATGATTTAATTACAGAAAAAGGCAATATTTTCCTATTGTCATTCCTCAGTGTGTATCTTTGTATGAATTGTGTTTGAATGTTTACAATTTTTAATTAATTTTGTGTGTGCGTGAGAGTCATCAAGATCACGTAGCAGGCACTCAACTGCTGAGCCATCTCTAAAGCCCAAGACTTAATTTTATATGACTATGAACAAGCAGACTAGCAAGATGACTTCGTAGGTTAAGGCACTTGCCAACAAGCCTGAAGACCTGAGTTCAACTCCTCGAATCCACATGATGGAAGAAAATCAATTCCTGCAGGCTGTCCTCTGACCTTCATATGTGCAAGTGACACACTAGCCATAATCCCCACCCCATTAGATAAATAAAATGGGAAAAAGTGAAGCATTAAGAGCATTTGCTGCTCTTGTAGAGGATCTGAGTTCAGGTCCCAGCATTTACGTTGACTGGCTCACAGCCACTTGTGACTTCAACTCTAAGGGATTCAACACTGCCTTTGGTCTCCGTGAGTATTTATATATACACACACATAAATAAATCTTAAAAACACAAAATTGCTTTATTTAACAAATGGTAATTTAACTGTATCCCAAAATTGTTTTGAAATAAAGTATTATTTACAATCAGTAAATATTTGTTGTGCACACCTATTTTATATACTAAAACCTGAGTCATGCAAAAAAATTCTCCGGCAGAAAGGGGTCGAGTGGAAAATGTGCAAATAGCCCTGTTGTAAAGATTCATAGCTAGGTGGCGCTCATCCCCACGGGGGTCTAAGGGGAGAGAGTGAGTTGCAGTGCTGGGAGCAAAGGTCCACCTGGGGGTGGACCGAGTGGCACTTCATGCCTGCCTCTGCTAGGCATGCCCAATCCCACCTCAGAGTTTCTTTTTCCAACACCGCAGCCCTCCAACTTGTCCAAGCGCAGGATGACTATCAGCTGCCCTCCACCTCCCCTCTCAACTTGAACAGACAATTACTTACCTTTTTTTCCTTGCCCTCTATCAGTGAAATTCAAACTACAGCTAAAACTAACTTGCTTCTTATAGAGATACGCCGACCCCCATTCTTACAAAGTTACCGTATTATTGCACAAGTAAACTGCAAACCCGCTTTTTCTCTGGGCATGCCCAGCACCACTCCATCCAGCTGCAGGATCCCCTGCATCTAATCAATCAAGCACCCGCTCAAGTCTTGGAAGACTAAGGGAGGAACTTGTCCAAGCCTTTAAATTGTTGCTACACACACAGGACTACCGTAGGGTGCTCACCCACTTATTCTGGTCAGGCCTGCAGATGCAAGGAGGACCTTGCGTCCTGAGAGCTAGATGGTCTCCAAGCAACTGCCACAAGCCCCGCCTCCTGAGGTCTTAAAGGGGCCGCGACGCAAATACAAAGCTGTAGAGCAGTTTTACCATGCTTATTCTCAAGAGAGGAACTGGGCACTTGAGCTGAATATACTTGGCCTGGATTTCCACAGCTCTAACTGCAAAGCGTGTGACCCCTCTCAACAGGTTTCCTCACAATAAAACAGAATAATGCAGTCTATTGTTTTCCACCACTGCCTTAACCCAAACAATGGTTTGAAGTCACAGTCTTAACAGCTGTAAGTTGCAGGTCTGGCTTGGAGGCCTCCAGGGAGTCTGTATACTTGTGTACCACTTTGAATAACTCATGTGATAGAGCCCACCAGACCGCAGAGGGCAATCTCCCCATCACTAAGATCTGTAATCCCTCCTGGAGTCCCCCTTGTCCTGTATGAGGTGAAGCACAGGTTCTGGTGACCGGAAAGAGACATTGTTGAGGGGCCATTACTGTACCTCCTACAGCTCCCAACTTGCACTGGTCCAAACATTAAATGAGACCTTGTAGACCTACAGTAGCAGTCTGTTTGGAGACGTAACCCTGGCTGGCCTGGAACCAAATTTACAGAGATCAGCCTGCCTCTGCTTTGCTACCTGGCCGAGCAGCTGAATGTGAAGAGCCGTGCCTCCACCGTCCTCTTTCCCAGGGGGCCCACAGCACAGGGGACACTGGAGGGGAACCGCCCACACCTGTCAGCACTGTGCCCTACCTACCAGCTGGGCTCTAAGGAGGCGTTTTTCATTTTCATTTGTAGTACAGCCCAAGTGGCCGAAATCCCACGTTAATAAAAACAGAAACCCATAGTTCACACCCCAGAGAAACCAAATTACAGCACTGAACTATAGAAACTCAGATGTTTTTCTTTCACTCCCTGCCCCAGCCTCTACTTCCCACTCTCCTTGCACTGAGGAACATTTAAAAATAGTGATCCCAGTAAGGGTGGTCGTGCATGTCTTTAATCCCAGAACTCAAGAGGCAGAGGCAGGAGAATCTGTGAATTCAAGGCTAGCCTGCTCTATATAGCAAGGTCCAGGTCAGCCATAGAGAGACTACATAGAGAGACTCTGCCTCATTCCTTCCCATTCCCACCCTGCAAAAGTGACCCCAGTACTATTCAGTAGTTTCTTTCCAAACAGGTAAAGAATCCCCCCTTTTATCATTTAATATGAATCAGGATTGAGAATTACTAATTTAATAAGATCATAATTTTTATTTGACTGTGTGAGGCACATGTAATCCTAGCACTTGGGAGGCAGAGGGAAGATCGGTTCAAGGGCAGCCTTGGCTACAAAACAAGTTTAAGACAGTTCTGAGTTTCATAAAACTGTCTCAAAACACAGGGGGGTGGGGTGGGAAGAACAAGAAAGTAAACATGAATTCAACTGTCATTGAGGGCTGAAAGCTGCAGACTATAATACCCCCAGTCAAGGGAAAGATTGCTAACTTCCAAAGAGCTCTCTCTTGTGGAATATTATTTTAAGATGTATTACATTTGTTTATACTGTGGAGCATTTGTTTTAATGATGCAAAGATGTGTAATTTTATGCTACATTTTTTTAACTCTGTGAAGCTATGATTCTTTGTCTAAAACACCTGATGGGCTAATGAAGCCGCTGAACAGCCAAGAGCAAGGCAGGAGAAAGGATAGGTGGGGCTGGCAGGCAAAGAGAATAAGTAGGAGAAATCTGGGAGGAGAGGAAGGAGGAGCAAGCTAGAAGGAGAGGAGGACATCAGGGGCCGGCCACCCAGCCAGCCACAGAGCAATAGTGAAAGTAAGATATACAGAAGTAAGAAAAGGAAAAAGCCCAGTGGCAAAAGGTAGTTTGGGATAATTTAAGAAAAGCTGGCAAGAAACAAACCAAGCTAAGGCCGGGCGTTTATAAATAACAATAAGACAATGTGTGTGATTTATATGGGGGCTGGGTGACGGGCCCCTCAAAAGAGTAAAACAACCAACAACATTTTGGCATTCCAACATAGGGCTAGAATAAAAAAAATTTAACAACAGCTCTCCTTGTTTTTCTAAGACATATCTTTGCACACCATTTCCAAACACACACACCACACATACACCACATGCATACTCAAATTTCAAGGCAATAACAGTAGACATAATAAAAAGGTTTAATTTTTTTTCTCTCTTTGGAATGGAGTCTTATTAATGTAGCTCAGGGTAGTCTCAAACTCCTGGCCTCAAGTGAGCCTCCCACCTGGGTCTCCCAAGACACATGCCACTATGCCTGGCTTAACACTGTTTTTTAAGTAGATCTGATACATTAAAATAGCAGAAAATAATCTGCAATAAACTCTATTCTACAAGCATCAGTTCTGGGAAATGATGTCCAGATTTGCAATGTGCCTCATGGTTGGCCTTCCATGGGGACAGTTCCAGGGGTGGTCCATCTCACCCATGTGAGTGATGAGCTTCTTCATCTCGCTTATGTTGAGAGCGGTTCCAATCATCACCTGAGGACGAGACAACAGTGGAGTTTAACTAGACTTTGTTACAACAGTCTTCAGAAGCACAGTGTCAAGATGAGACCAGACAAGGTCACAGCTTAAAACATTTCCCGAAGAATCTTCCCCCAGAGTCCCTTCTTCTCACGGTGCTCCACATTTTTGTTGAGCTTCCAGCCTTCATGGCTCAGGGTCAACCTCTCAAGAAGTGGACCAGTACCCCCTTCTCTCAACAGTTCCACATGACTTTACTTCTCTCCTCTCACAATGACAACCAGAGTGGTCCAGAGTGTCTCTCTCCACTCAGCGGGGAGCAAGGATTTTATTACTTGCTTATTTTACTTTTTGACGTGCATGTGTGTATGTGGCTGCATATGTTTGTGTGTGTGTGTGTGTGTGTGCGCACGCACACTGCATGTGAGCATATATGTATGTACGCATGTGCATGCTTGTTCTTGTCTGAGTGCATGGAGGCCAAAAGTATACACTGATGTCTATCATGGTTTACCTTAGTTTTTGAGACAGGATTCTCTCATCTAACCCGTCTCAGTATTTTGGCTAGACTAGCCAGCCAGGAGCCCCCAGGATTCATAAGTGTCTCCACTTCCCCAGAGCAGGGATTACAAATATGCACCACAGCTTGCTTTTTAACTTAGTGCTGGAGATTTGTATTCAGGCCCTCATGGTTGAACAGAAAGTACTTTACGTGCAGAGCCATCATCCCAACCCCTAATTTTTTGTTTTCCCTTGAAGACAGGGTCTCACTAGAGTTAACCCTGGCTGTCCTGGAACTCACTATGGACCGGGCCAGCCTTTGCAATGAACCTCTTGTCTCTGCCTCCTGAGTGCACGGATTATAGATTTGAGTCACCATGCCAGAACAACAGTTCTTTTAAGAAGTCTGTCAGGTCACTCACTACTCTTTCCAGCTCTTCCTTCACCTAAGTAAAAGCCTAGGTCCTTGCCTAATGTGCTAGCATATCTGTGGTGGTTTGAATGAGGATGGCTCTTGTAGGCTCATATGTTTGAAGGGTTGGTTCCCAGTTGGTGTTCAGGAAGGACTAGGAGGTGTGGTGTTATTGGGGGTGTGTCTCTGGAGGTGGGCTTTGAGTTTTCCCCATGCCAGGCCCAGTCTCTCCTTTTTCCTCTCTCCCCACCTTCTCTCTGTGGCCTATAGATCTGGATGTAAGCTGTTAGCTACTGCTCCACTGCCATTTTCCCACCATGATGATCATGGACTCATCCTCTCAAACTGCAAACAAGCCCTCAATTAAATACTTTCTCTTATAAGCTGCCTTGACCATTGTGCCTCGTCACAGCAATACAATAATAGCTAAGGTAACATCCTTGTTTGCAACCATTTTCCCTGCCACACTGGCACACCATCCCCGTGTGCACATGCACAAACCAAGTTTCCGAATCAGAGAACTAGCTGTCCCTGTGCTTGGGACTTGCTTTCCCCATCTTTTGCAAGTGCTCCCTCCTTCAGGCTCCTGCTCAAATGCCCTGCGTACTCTCAGTGAAACAGCACGCTCTCTAGAGCATGAAGAGCTTTGTGACACGTATGTGACAAAGAGATGCTACAGCATACCCAATATTCTGAGATTCTGAGAAATAGGTAGAGATGGGGATTCAGAGAGCCTAAACTCCTCTGTTGTAATCTTTCCTCCGATTGTAGCACATGAAGTGTCCACTAGGTGTCAGTATAGTCCTAAAGCTAGGGACAAAGCAGTGCTCTGTCACACTGGGGGAAGAAAGACAATAAGCAAGTTAGCAAATGTCACTTATGAGGTGATTGCAGACTGGAGGGATGCAAGGAGCAGTGACAGTGGATCCAGGTGGGGAACGGCAGGTAGAAAGTGCCTGAGTTGACAGGAGATGGTGATTGCAACCCTTTGGCTATGGCTGGAGCAAAGTGAAGGAGAAAGGGCTGGAAAGGCAAGAAGGGACTGGAATATATTATGTGGACAGCAGGAGACAGAAGATCCTGTGAAGGTCAGCCAGGCTAGAGACAGGAGAGCTATAACAGTGTGTCTGCACTCCACGGCTCCACAGGCCTTCACATCACAGGTACACAGAAGGGTAAAGAGGCCAGCATGATTTGTGGCACATTTGCTCTGACACTAACTTTCACTACAAGACAGGATTGTTCTTATCAACCAGGTATTTGTCACTAGAAATCAGAGCCAATAAGATCCTGAGCACTCGTTTGTGCTCTCTGTGTGAGTGTGTGTGTGTGTGTGTGTGTGTGTACACACATGTGTGTGCTTCGGCTTACATACTAGGCAAGTGCTCTACAACTAAAGCCACACCAGCAGTCCACAAACAAAACTCTTTTCTGAGGGCTGGCTAAATGGCTCAGAGGGAAAAGGGCTTGTTGCACAAGCCTGTCAACTCACATAAAGGAAGAACCAACTCTCCACAATATTGTCCTCTGACCCCCATACAAGCTCTGAGGCATGGACACACTCCTCCTCCCAGTTCTACACTATAATCAAACAAAACTTGTCCTTGGAGTAATTTCACACTGTCCTAGTCAGGGGGGTTATCATTGACGTAATGAAGCACCATGACCAAAAGAAACTTGGGGAGGAAAGGGTTTACTTCACTCACAGTTCCATATAAAACTTCATCATCAGAGGCAGTGAGGGCAGGAAATCAAACAAGGTAGGAACCGGGAGGCAGGAGCTGACGCATATGCCATGGAGGGGTGTTGCTTACTGGCTTGCTCATCATGGCCTGATCAGCCTGCTTTCCTATAAACCCAGGACCACTAGCCCAGGGATAGCACCATCCCTAATGGACTGGGCCCTCCCTTATCAATCACTAATTTGAAAAATACCCACAGACTTGCCCACAGCCTGATATTATGGAGGCATTTTCTTAATTTCTCTCTCAGATGACTTTAGCTTGTGTCAAGCTGACATTAGAAGTCTAGCAAATACACTTCAGCCCAGACATCTCCTGAAGCCCTGTCATGTGCTGCTTTTCGACACTCTGCTCACTGAACAACGGGCCTCACATACAGTTAAGTCTACAACACAGCTCCTAACCCTGTTAGCTCCCCAGAACTGCTCCCCTCCCCCAATGCCATTCTGCATCCAAATTCTGCATCTGGCACCTTTCAAATTCAGCACTCTCCCACTATAAAGCAGTACGACTATGGGCTGTCCTCTTCCTCAGGTTTGTGTGATTACTACTTTTTCTGTGAAGAGCATTCTTACTCGTGGAGGCTTTATTTCACCCACCTCCCGCCATCACGCTTTTCCTGTGGTCACGTGCTGTTTGAATTTCTGCACTTATGGCATCAAAGGGGTCATTTATTTGTTTATGTCTATTTCTCTAATCCACCTTACTTCTGTATTCCCATACATGGAACAAACAGGACAGGTTATACTACATGGGCTCAAGGAATTTCTGGATAATATAGGAATGTGGCTAGGTGACAGGTTGCTTACTTTATTTGGACACTGGGCTAATACCTAGCCATCACTACCATTTCCTATACAGAGTGACAGTAAAACCGTCTCTGTGGGACACTTGTGACTAAATGGCTCTACTGGATTTTGATGGTGTTGTCTCAGCCTGGAGGAAGAAAATTCTTTCTTAGTGCAGGTTAGCGTTACCTGTAAGGCCCAGGGATGAAGCAGGTACACAAAGCTAACTGCCAGGCTCAGGAGAAGTCTGAGATAAAACACTGTGTAGCATCTGTAGAGAATGAACAGCAAGCCTGACTAACACAGACCTGGCTGTCTTGTTATACCAACAGACAAGAAGCTCTCTATATTTTATAGCCATCATGAAGGTACTTAACAACATAACCAAACCAAGACTGGAACTGAGAACTCCCTTGGGCCCTCCAGACCCCAGGAGTGAAGCTTATTTTACTTACAGACTTCCGACAGGCTCGGGAAGCAAACATCTGCCTGACTCTTGAGGGTCGGCACATGACCCCAGGGCTGTCACTTAGCATAAAGATCAGTTCATCTATATCTTGGGGTCCAAAGGTCCAGTTTTTACTAGTTGGTAAGGAAATCAATTTAGCCCTTTCAGTGACTGGAGCTAAAAGAAAAAAGAATAGAGGAAAATCGATTATTGGAGAAAAACATTTTAGTTCATGGCTACTTGAAATGAAGACCCACACACCCAAAGTAAGGGGAAAGTACAAATACTTCCAAGTTAAACTATACAGTCCTACAGTCCTCATGGTTAACTTACCATCCTCATCAATAATGAAATCAAAGCCATTCTTTCTGAATATTTCCA